GCCCCTGCCTGTACCTGCCTGTCAATGTGAATCTGATCTGTTACGACCTGTCCCTGCCAGTCATCTCCTATCATACCGTCCTGCCAGCCCGCACCCTGACAGGTATAAGTGTACTAATATAGTTAATCCCGTTCTGTATCTTAGTTCTAACTATCCGACTATTTATACATATTAACACTATAAAATAACTAATATCTAAAGGTTATAAAATATCACGGTGCGAACCGTGACACTAACATCCGTTAGGGACCATAGGAGTAACCGGGTAAGTCACATGACTTCTAACCGCTTTCAGCTCATCGCACCCCACATCAGTCCGTCTCATTCGCAATCAACAACATAGCTCCCCATCTCATGGCCTTTGGCTATCAGATCACCTGAAAAGATTTGACGTCTATCGCTCTGTGTCCTTAATTCTTTTTTTGCTATTTTCCCGGTCCGCGACTTTGAATGTAACCAGTTCGGGATCAGCGTCACAGGAGATTGGCTTCCGGATTGGCCAAGGCAAGGCCCAAAAGGTTGTATCAGCTCGATGCCATGCAATGAATAAAACCGGTGGTCCAGCAGAATCATTGACTGAGATTGAATGCGTTTTGGCTACTGGATGGGTGATGCCGCCATGGATTTTTACTAAAGGTCAATATCATATGGAGAATTGGTTAACCAATAATCTACCTGATAACTATACGATTTTTCCTAGAGCCAATGGCTGGACAGGTGAAATTATTAGTTTTATGTGGATACAAGTGTTCCAAAAATTTACCCGATTTAATATCAAAAAGGTCACTTTAATCCTGTTTTTCTTTTAGCTATAAATATACTAATATACTATACTTAATAGGGAGATTACCGTCTGCTTCCAATGGATAATCATGGGTAGCACATCACCCTCGATTTCATTGAGTTTTGTTGGGAAAAACGTATAATTTCTTATTGTTTTATCCCCCATACAACACATGCATGCCAGCCTCTCGATGATATCCCATTCGCCAATCTTAAACATTATTATCATCAATATAATAATGATGTCTCACTTTGGGGTGGTGGTGCTAAAAGCAAGGCTACATTCTTTGATGGGATTCATAATGTCCGGATGCAGGCATTCCGGCCACGATCAATTCGACATGGCTTCAGGGAAACTGGGATTTGGCCAGTTAATTCTGATAAAGGCCTTGAAAAAAGGGCTTGGCTACTGATGATAATGATCTCCCTAATATGCCAGGTTTGATTATTCATGATATTAAACCTGGACGGGATCATACTGCGCCTCCGCCACCATCCAGCTCTCTCCCGAATACGCCTCCACAGACTGTTCAAAAGCTACGAAAAGGCAGTAATAAGGTGGTAAAACATATCAAAAATGATCCTACTATCTCTCCTAAGATCCGTGATGGCCTTATCATGATTCTGGAAGGAAGCTTGTTACCTGCTGAGGCTGGTGCTCAGTTCCTGCAAGATAATGTGCGCATTTTACAGCGGGAAAAATAAGTTGATACTGGTAAAACCAAGCGAAGGCTTTCTAGATTAGGGCCTCGCTTATCTAGGGATTATAAGAAACGATTATAGTCAGCTGGTTCATAAACTAGTGTCACCAAGGACTAACCTCTCGGCCATTCAAAGAAAGATTGTCCAGCAGTTGCAACTCGTCGGGCCTAGCTATTGCGGGTTCTTGAACCGTAATAGCTTTGGACAAATGATCCTTCAAATCTCTCTGCGAAACTCTTAGCAAGGACTTTAGGGTTTAAATATAACATCGTCCACTCTACAACTGTTTCATTTGAAAATCTTTTTAGTTTCCTGGATCTTCGGCCGTTCGCTTCTCGTCGCTAGATATGGATAAAAAAAGAAAGAAGAACATTCTCGAGGTGGCCCTCCCGTCACTTCTCAACACCATACGGAGGATATGGCCCTCTCTATGCAAGACAAGGTGAGTTGTGATCGAAAAAGCCTTATCAACTCATCTTATAGCTGACCACTTGGCTTTGATTATAGAACAGTTCCCAGGGACTCGTTCGCTCCAAGGACCAAAGAGATGGCCCCTCCCTAGGTGACGAAGTTTGTCAACAGAGTTCATCGCCAGGCTGGATCTTCAACGTCGTACTACAACAAACACGATGTAGAGGAGTATTTGTATTGATCTTGAAGAGCATCATGTTAGTACGTGGCCAAGTCTTATGAGAAGAAGAAGAAGAAGAAGAAGAAGAAGAATGAACGCGTGAGGTGCTAGACGAGGTGAAGGACGATATAGGCGGGGTTTGCATTTGGAGGACTCTCCCAACGAATCAGCACCATTTTACTGTCGGACGAGCTGCAAAAGCTGCCAAATCCCAAGGATCGAGAATCCCAAGCACTAGTCGTAGATAAATCCTCCTTTCATCCACGTAAAATCATGGCCGGCGATACCGCTCAGAAGCTCGCGGTTCTCATTGATGCTGACAACGCTATGCCATCTGCAGCGAGGCTTTTACTAGCTGAGGTGGCAAAATACGGCACAGCTCATGTAAAGCGGGCCTACGGCAATTGGACCAACACCAACTTGAGTGGGTGGAAGGAAGAGCTCCTCACGCATTCAATCCAGCCGATCCAGCAATTTGCTTACACCCACGGGGAAAATGCGACCGACTCAGCAATGATCATAGACGGGAGTTGATAAGTTCACAGTAAGTATGTCGTCTGAATCAACTGATGTTTCTCTTGGACAGTCACTGGTACGACGTCGTTTTCGTGCCTCATTTGGAGCATCCCTGACGGGATCAAAATAATTGCTCCTTTGGGATGAAGCTGGATACGGAAGTAGGCTTCTAATAGAATAGAAGAGCTTTTGTTGCTCTAAGTTATCCATAGAATGTGAACCAAACGCCTCGAGATGCCACTTAACGAATATACCTCGTGTGGTATTCAAATCAGCGTGTAGGGATGTGCATATATCAGAAAGTCTAGAGGCCAAGAATCAGTAAATTGTGGTACTTTGGCGTTTGGTATACACACAGGACGCTTTTGCCTAATATGCACTTGATTATACATGGAACGGAGAGATGATTGGTGTGCAAATGATCCTGGCCCTTTGTGCATTGATCAGCAATAAGCGAGGTGGTAAATATATTCATCGATAGATTTGCTTTCGCCCACCGTCCCAACGAAGTGAACGATGGGAGAACTGGAATATGCCGTCAGCGCTATGTTGAAAATTTTGACGCAATGTGCGCTGACAATAAAAGAAAATATCACCACTTCTAATTCCCCAGTCGCTCTCTGTTTGAAGACGGTCAATTGCAGTCACTGCCCACGCAACACCAAGCCGCGTTTGTCGGAGGTGATCGGAACCTCCATTCGAAATCAACACCATCATCTTGTTCACCAATTTCTCGTCAACGCCAGTGCAGCATGCTACTTGACAAAGCGCGCCTAATATGAATTTCTGATAGGAAGCGATGAGTTTGGATTGTTTCGCATCGTCGGCGCATCTTTGCGCGATTGAAGCATAAGCTTCAAGGGTATCGAGTATGTTTGAATGCCGATTTTGAATAGCAGGCATTAACAGTTTGTTTTCTCCGACGCGAGTATTCTTTTGAAATAACAAGTGTAGAATGAAGAGAGCCGGAGATTCACTATTGGGAGATGTTGGCTTAGAACATAAGGCCTTGGTCCATTTCTCAGCAGAAGGAATCTTTTTGATGAAGGAATCCAAAGGTTTTCTCCATTTCCCTTCTCGCTGTGAGGAGCCTGAAGGTGAAAGCCTCTCATCTTCGCTGCTTGGAGAGCCTTGAGTGGATTGGGATAGGAAGACTTGGGGCGAACTAAACTCGAATGGAACCTGAGATCTCTGAATAACATCACTTGGGACATATACTCTCCATTCACCCAACACTTGGTGTAGAAGACTGATATATCTTTCCAGCCCGGCGACATAGTTAAAAGCGTTGTGGGAATCCACCTTCAGAGTATGAACTGTAACAAAGGAAGAAATGATGAGGAGTGCGAAGAAAGACGGTCAGACCTGGATGGAGTGCGGGGAAAGGGAACCAAAATTATTGATTGGCTCAGACAGGGGTAGGGGGTAGTGTATAGGCCTCGCCAAAACCTTATACACGCCGCCAACCCTGAGATTGGAAGGCACGAGGACACTAAGGCGTACTTTAGAGAGAGAGGCACGAAAGAAGGGAAACTGAGAGGCATCAAGCTCGCCTGGGTCTGGGTCTTGACTTATTCTCACTTACTACGACACGTTCGCCCGCGTATCTAAGACTCCCGATGGCATGGAGCCAGCTGATATTGTGCTCTATTATTGCGACCATCAGATGAGGGTCATAGTTGTGGAAGCGGGCTTCGTGGAGACTCTGATTCTTTTTTTAATTGGAATCCAGTATTTTCGAGGTAGAGTAGAAATGGAAAACAATACCGCAGATTTGTGCAGAACCTTTTGAATATCCGTATGTGTTTCTTAGTAAACATCAAATCATTGCATGGCAGTCCAAGACAGCAGTATAAGAAATACATGTGCTAGTTGTTTCTTTGGCCCGTAAAGAATCTGGTGTTTTCGATCCCAAACTGTCTACTAGAAGGCTTGGAGTTCATGACGGTTTGCGTCGATCATTTTCATCAATGTGTTAACTAGAAATAGGTCTTTAAATTCTGTTAACTATGAAAAAGCTCCTGGGCAATACTTGGAAGCAGAAGAAGACGACACATTCGTCATTTACTCTTTCAAGACTGTAAAAGAAAGCTAGCTTGTCGTATTATAGATGGAAGAGCACATGCCATGGAGCTAGCTCCTTGTCTGATAGACTATACCAAAGATTCTCTGAGGTAGGGTATTATGCACTTGATGGCCAGCCGTTTTTCCTGGCCTGAACCAAAATATACCATAATGGCACATAAAGACCAGAAGAATTCCACCACTCTCTTCTTTTAGTAAGACACACACTAGACTTCTTCAATCCGTTTCGAATGGGCTACTGTACAGAGATAGTTGTCAATGCCATACGATCCTTGGTAATCTACCGTGATGTGCCTTCTGAGATTTCGCAGTTTTGCCGTTTAGTATAATTCAAAAATAGATTGCGTGTTTTCATATTACTGTATCACTCCGTTGATGCTTCTAGGTACAGTAGAATTCGAAATCAGTAACTCCACACTCTTGCGACTTGATTTGCGCACCCTATAACCCGAAACACCCTAGTTTGAATTTGGATTAGTGGTCGATCTATGGTTTCCAAAAATAGATGCCGTATTTTACACAAACTTACCATCTTGAGCAAACTGCAGTTTTACTGTGTGCTGAACCACTCAAGAATTGTGGCGAGAAATCCCAAGGGATCACATGCTATGAGATATATAGCGTTGTTGATGGAGACAGAAAACTGAAGAATTTGCAAAGTCCAAGCAGGGAAACGTAATGGGATGTCCGCGGCGCGCAGGCTTTTACTGTAGTATAACAAAAAAGCTGCAACTAGGATTTAGTCCATACCTCGAATCGACTGGACGGAATCTCATTAACCAAACCAAAGTACCTATCATTTTATGTGTCTATTGAACTTGTTGTCCCCACTCAATTCGATGCTCCCCCCCTCCCCCCCCCCCTCCAACTCATTATTCCCCCTCAGCACATTATCCCCCCTCAACCCATTGTCTTCTGTTGAACGAAATACAGCGTACTTTTCCACTAGACCTTAAAAAAAACCAAGGTTCCTATTTATGGCCTAGGGAGGCCGTATTTGAGGTTTGACATCTTCTCTAAGGGGGTTTTATCTTTAATGAAAGCTTCTGCATGATTTGGGTGTTACATTCGAAGCAGCATTTAGCAGGACCAATAGAGCCGTGATACGATAGCTATTTTTATGCCAACATGATCTCAGAGCTTGGTCTTATATACTGGGCTCTGTAGTGCCATCTCCGCCTCTAGACCACGGTCAGAGATCAAGGGCAACTTTGTTGATTAATGCAAATTCAAAGACGCACGGTCTTGGCCACATCACAAGGCAACCTCCTCGTATTAATGGACAATGGGGATCCCTGGAAAGTAGACATTGAGATATTAAAGGCTGCGACTCCCTCGTGTCGATTTTTAATACCTCAGACCTCCGTAAACTTTTACAACTTCCAACATGCAATCACGCAAGAGCATACATCAAGCGAACCCCCAAACAGCCACCCAATATCCCAATATGCCCAGCCCTGTAATGAAATGTGTGAAGGAGGGCTGCAACGCCTGGGCCATGGCTTCACAGAGATTCTGCAAGGATCATCTCCGTATGTTCTTTCTGTCACTTGACACTGCTTGGTTCATGTTGGTGGTTCTCACACCTACCCATACAGTGAAACCCGCCAACGAAATTAGCGGAAATCCTATCAACAAGGCCCGGTCGACCGTGGCCATCGATAGTTGCACGGGAGTTTGAGATTTTATATCATAGGCAGTCACAGAACGTGCTGGAATTGGGGCTGCGTTGAAGCCTGAAAGTAGAATAATTGCTGAATCAAGTGTGACAGCTGAAAGTTGAAGATGGTAGGATGTTGTATTTAAGGAAAAAGAACCAGGGAGTCCAGTCGTTGAAAAACTTCGTGCCCGTTTGCAATTTCTTCTTCTTTTAGTTTGCCGGCCCGCTTTTAACATTTTCTTTTTTTATGAAAGACGACACACGCCGACACAATATTAATAACGCCCGGTGGCTAAGCCAAAAGGCAACTATCATCAATCTACCAATACAAGTCCTAATGTACATATGCCATGTCTCCTTAGGGTCCATACATGGTCACTATCAGCGTGTATCATCTCAGCCAAAGACGATACATACCTTGATGAGGAGGGCCCGGGGGGTCATGTATGACTCTTTGCAGGCATGTAGTCATCAGGTGCCAACATAATGCAAAATCTGAACGCTCCCTTGCTATTGAACCAGTAGTCGCTTAGGGCTTTTTTGACATTTGAGGTACAAATGGCCTCTTTTATGCGACAATACACGATCAAGCATTCTCCACGCTCTATTGGTTTTTCGTACGATATCTCTATGCTCTTCTTATTGTTGCAGATCGATGAAGTCGGATGTGACTATGGTCCAATAGATGATTACCCCTCTAAATTGGCAAGCTTTTTGAGCCGACGATCAGCACTGTACCGCTGGATGGCCTCTGCCTTCCACGTTTCATAATCCAGGTTGTTCAAGTTTCCATCCTTGTGTAAGGCCCTGACAAGGCCCAGAAAGACGTCCTTGCATCCATCCCAGTCAGGAAGGTCGTAACCGCAGCAAAATTGCAGGCGGTGAAGAAGCCGCCCCTTTCTGACCATGTCTCCAAGATCGGTATGCCCTTTTCTTTCCAGCAAGTGGGAAAAAGTCATTTCTTCATCACCTAGGCAATTATTCCCATTGTAGAACTTAGCAAGTGGGAGGAGAACGATGGGAGAATTAAAAACTGAAAATTTGGGACCCGTGTGCGCCCACTCCCAGTCAACAATACCCGTAATTCGAAACTGGTCGTCCACCAAAATTTGATCCCCTTTCTCATCTGCATGCTTCAAATAGAACGACGCGTCATTCAGGCTCGCACATGGGAGGATTGTCTGAATGTTTTCCTGAAGATAACGGTGTATCAAAAAGGCATCTATTGGACGATATGCATAGGCTTCTTGCCTCACAATCAAGTCCAAAATCAAATCGAAGTGTGCATTGTAATACTGTTCTGAAGACGAAAATGGTCCAAGCATTTTCAAGCCAGATTCTCCAAAGTCGGCTAGTGACTCTCTTGCAAACGGCCCAATAATAAGTTTAGAATCAATTTTGTCCAAAGAGCCCATCATGGGAAAAGGATGGGCATGCAGTTCAATATAGATATCAGCAAGCTGATCAATCACCTTCAAGCGTTGCTCTCGGGTAGCATCAGACCAGGACAGAGATCTCCCAGGCAATTTTCGATGAGGATGTACCGAACACCAACAGGGTTCGCCTCATCCAAGCTGAAATCAAAGACCTTCGGGGCAGGAATCTTTGTTTCTCCCAAAAACTCGAGTGTGGCAACTTCACTGCGTATGATGTAGTTTTGCAGTTCCAGGGGGGGTGAAGTAGCATTGAATCTCCGAACGCGCGCCAACCAGCAAACGCCATCCTCAAATGAAATCTCAATATGATAATTCATACCGCCCATGACTGATTTCCGTGTCGACAGGTCATATTAAAGATTCTGCGATATAGAACAGCGGACGCCCTTGCGTAAATAGCTGGCTCGATCTGTGAGCGCCGTGATATTGATTTTAGCAAGAAGTCTGTCTATTTCTTCGTGTTCCGCTCGGTTAGCCGCAGGATCATAGCTTTTTTCATCCTGGTGATAGTAAAACAAGAGATCAGTATGGTCCGTATAATATATAATTTTCTTTCCTCACTTCCCACAGTGGACATGTATGATACTCGGGCTTCAAATGTTCGGCGCAAAGATGACGACAGCAAAGTATGCATTCTCCATCTGTGCGAACAGAGGACTTATCGCAATCCTCGATATCACAGCTCCACAAACCCATGGTGAACTGAGCTGGTCAACGGGCTGGAAGAGGAAGTGTCGATATGACGGGTTATATACCTACCTAGGCCTCGCCAAAACCCGCCCGCGAAAACCCAGCCCATGGGCCGGGTTGGGTCTTAGTCAGCAAACCCGTGGGTGGGTTGTCATCCGGGAAACCCAACCCAAGACCCCAATGGGGTACCCGCGATTACCCAAAAAAGCAAAAAAAGCTGACTGATCATTTTACACTAAGTTATGCAGTAATTCTCGATTATCTAATTGTTTCGATGGCGTAACTGATAGCTTCTAGCTGAGAATATTTGGAAAGGAACATGAAGGATACGACTTTGGGAGGACACTGAGAGGGTCCAAATCACTGATTTTAAATTATCGAACTAAAGATGATATTTTGGAGCTCACTCGAAAGATTCTCAATTGATGAATTTACATAAAATGATCAATGTGGCCTGTAATCCCTTCAGATGTGTAAAGCACGGCGATGGGGGCAGTGATCTACTTGTAGAGAATATATATATCCAGATCGATGGCACTCATTGTTTCAGTGTAACATCCACCCAAAAGCGTGACAGAAATAAATGACCAAAATTACATCAGATGACTAATCAGGTTTATCTACGATTTATGCACGACCAACTCGAATGCTGTCGGTGCAGAATATATCATCATGGAGAAAGCCGCCGGTGTTCCATTGTTTCAAGTTTGGGGTAGTATGACCGAATTTGATCAGCTACAGTTAATCAGAAACTTGACCCAGATCGAAGCTCAATTATCAGCTATTCATTTCCCTGCTTATGGAGGACTGTATCTTCGAACAGATATAGAACAACCAAACAAGCCCCTTGGTGACGAACTTGACCCATCTTTTTGTATTGGACCTTCTTGCGACCGAAGATATGATCCTGATCCAAGTCTGGACTTTGATAAAGGACCTTGTGAGTTTCCTGCGTATTTTGACAGTTTATATACTTACTGTCCATAGGGTATTCAATTTCAACCCTTGGGGTTTCTATTGCAAAGCGCGAATTGCTACGAATATCAAAGAACGGCCAGCATGATCAAGCACTCTTTTATAAAGGAGGTATCGAAGAACGAGCCGAACTCTTACAAGCAACAGAGAGTGTTATGGAACTTTTAGACTCGAACGAAATATTGAAAGGGGAAGCTTCCCAGCCTACTCTATGGCATACCGATCTTCATATGGGAAACATTGTCGTCGCCCCTGACGAGTGTTCAAGAATAGTATCCCTCATCGACCTACAGTCGATTTCCGTTCTCCCTGCATTTCTCCAGGCCCAATGGCCAGTCTTTCTCAAACCCCCGCAGAACTACGATTACGAGAAGGGGATATTTAAGGTGGAACTGCGCGATGATTTCGATACCCTAGATGAGGATGACAAGATGCTTGCAATGCGCGAATGGTCCCAAGTAAAGTTGACAAAGGCTTATGAGATCTCAACCTTGCTTGAGGATAAACCAGCGCATAGGGCAATGAACGTACCACGTGTCTTCCGAGAGTTATTCCTTCGATGCGGGGAAGTCTCCGAAATTGGCGTTCTCCCGCTTCGTGCGTGCTTGATAGAACTCTTTCAGAATTGGTCGGACCTTGGATTTTCTGGAGAATGCCCTTTATCCTTTACGCAGGAGCAGGTCGATACGCACGACCGCCAATTCTCTGGGTATCAAGCTTGGTAAAAGATTCAGGCTCTTGCGCAAGAATGCCTTGACACCGATGCGGAAGGATGGGTCGCACCAGGATTGGATGTGAATGAGAAGAGGACGCAGAATGAGAAATTGTTGACTATGTACATTGAAAGCGTTGCTGGGGAGAAATCCGCAGAAGAGGCGAGAGCCATATGGCCTTTCCCGGTTAAGGCAGGAGTATGATTTGAGCATTTTGTTATGCTGGATTGATAGATGTGAATAGAAGTCTGGAGCCTGTCATGATATTTTTCTCCTCCATAGGAAAACCGGAGGACCAGCTGACTTAGGCCATGGTAAATAAAGAATATCGTCTCCCTTAACCATATTGGAGTATGCCGAGGCAAAGTGCCGCGCTGGGTCGCACCTTATCTCGTTCGCACCACGTAAAATCTCACAAACTGTGAGAGACGGTTTTACCGCTACCAGGAGAAGATCAAATGCTCCCAGCCATAAGAACTCTAGCCGTTCTGGGAAGGGTCGAGGTAGGAAATGCCGCTGCGACTATGGAGCCTCCATGGAACGGACGAGCACCATCTTTTCTTTTCCCAGCACTCGAACGATCATGGTTTTTGAATTAGCGACCAGATATTTCCATTCATCCTGTATGTTTCATGTATGTCCCTGACAGTGAGTCGTAAATGGTAATTGTGTACAGAAGAAAATTGACCCGTGTATCAGGAAATCGATAAACTTCCTCTATGCATTTCTATCTCGAAGACAACAGTTGTTTCCTAAGCGTTGTGCTCCAGTAAACTTGGATGGAGCCGTTGCTCCTTCCAGGGAACTTCCGACTGAAACGCTTGATTACCTCCGACCAGGTAAGAGCGTCTTCCTTCCTAAGCTTCACCAGAGGGCGATCCTCTTCCGGAAGGAAAGGCTGTCCTTTTCTCGAGGAGCCAGGACGCTGTATATCGACCCCGTTGGCACCTTCGAATGGTTGTGTAGGTGGTGGAGTCGAGGTTTCTTCCTCTCCTGAGACAGAATCTAATGCCGATGTGCTATCCGCGCTGGATGAAACATGGAGGCATTGGGACAAAGCACCCTGAAATAGCCAAGACAAGAACTGCAGTTGCTCTTCGACTGGTAGAGAAGAAAAGTGATCCCGAAGAATAGGAAACGACATTTTAACGGCGCCGTTTGCTCGAGCAATCCGGCCAACCCTATTCATGTGGCGATTGTCCACGACGACAGAAAACTTGTTTATTTTGGACCGCTGTCGCCGTGGTTTCACTGCCCTTTGTGAATTTGGTCGCATGCTGCGGCCACGACCACTTTTATCCGACGAACGACAAAGGTCTGCAACGTCACAAGTGTCTATTCTTGCTGGAGTCTGCTCAATATGTCGGAAATGGTAGTCATCCAGGATTGCCGGATCAATTATTGCGTCGCAACACTCGCTGGTCAGAACAGAACTTCTACTAGTGCCAGTATGAGAGTACTGACTGGTAGTGCAAGCAAGCCTTAGATCGCCTGATTCAAAGTCGAGTGAGCGCTGAGACTCCGGGCCTAGATTATCATAGATCGTCGGAAATTCCTCGTCTCCAGAGCTCGGTAAATTCTGCAGTTGGCGAATATCCTCGAAGTCGAACGCCTCAACTCCGGGGTTAACGTATAATGTTTGATTCTGCACAGCGGATTGGTGCTGAGTATTTATCTCCTGTGGTAGGCTGTCGTTCAAGCACGCCTCCACTGGTGGTCGGGGAGGAAGGGGGTGACGCTCAGGTTTATGAAGATGAAAACTTGAGTTCGTCGAAGCCGAGTTGCTGGAATTGGAGGGGGGCGAGGTGACGGTGATCGAGGCAGGACTTGGATAGCGACAAATACCGAGAGAATCCCGCAGAGGCTGCGCTTCGTCTTGGGAAGGATTCCACGGCCGGAAAGATTCCAAGCGAAAACTATCGCTCGACATAATGTGAAAAAGGCTACTGAGCAAGTACACAGTATAAGGGAGCCGGGACCACTTGTAGAAATAGAGGAAACGGGATCGGGACTTTGGGGAGGTGGTAGTGGGTAGGGCACGGTGGGAATGGGAAGGTGGGAGAATTTGGGAAGATGGATTACAGATTTGCCATTTGGGTGGAATTGTCGTCTCTTTTATAGACCGCGAGGCGTAATCCGCCTACTTCATAGCGTAGAAGACGCCGACCATCTCCTGCAACCTATGCCGATACGTCCAAAGTTGCGAGACGACACAAGTTTCCTTTTCGGCTTTAGGGCACCTGCAACAACCCCTGCCAATCTTGCTGAAGGATTTCGACCAATGACCTATGCCCAAACCTGTTACCAGCCGTGCTTCTATTCGCCAGACTGTGCTATCATGGGTCTTCTCACACAGCCCGGCCAGGCATTGACCTTACGACGCTGCATTGGCCGGTGTCTGGCGAATGTGCGGTATTTTCGCTATTGGCTCTCATGACCGTCGTATGCTATCGAGATGCATCGATTGGGCGCGAAGAGACCGAAGAGACCGGAGAGGCCGACGATGACGACAGACTGGAGATCGAGACTTTTGCCGCCAAGAGTAGATCTCCGACACCAAGAGCTGTGCGATGTAACCTCAGGTGTGGGCCTGGGATGGGGCGGATGAAGCAGAGCACGCAGCATCGAGGAGTGCACTAGGGGAGACCTCGCAACAAGCGAGGTCAGTGGAGTACCAGACACTCAACGGGAAGGCTTCGCCAGCAGACAGCGATCTAGATGGCTCTGTAGACTCCTTCGGAGAATGGAGTATTGACACATGCGGTGGATAGCTGGGTCACCCCTGCGCTCCTGCTCCTGGGCGACTGGATGTCATGGCTGCCCAGGCCGGCCAGAACGAGCTGAGCGTCGGATCGAGCGGCATCTCCAGTAAAATGAAAGGGGCAGTGCGTCGGGCTGAGAGCCAGTGCGCAGGCGACGGTGGGGGCGAGAAAGAAAGGGGGCAGAGAGGGAAAGAGAAGAGAAAATGCGTCGACAAGAGGAGGAGAGGGCGAGTGGTCTTTTATAGATGGACGGCAGGTGGGCAGGGGCGGTAAAAGCTGCCAGGGACGGCACTAAACCCAAACGGGGAGAGGAGAGAGGGCGCCAAACCCGAAGGGGCAGGGAGATGGCGGAGACAGGCAGGCGGTGGAGGGCGACAGGACGGCGGTGCAATGGGAGCCGTTTCCCGCGCCCCGCTCACCGTGTCAACTAATACTTAAATAAATCAACGATTTCTTAAATTTAAAGTGAACGATGTAATCAAAATACTCAAAAATACTAGGAATATCCTATATTATTTGTGCAGTCACGAGAAATTGGCATATTTGTATTGTTTAGTCGAAGAGGGGGGCTTCGAGCTATGGGCCCAAAACTAAAAGCCCGAAGCCCGCTGCGAGCTTTGGGAATAGGCCCGAAACCCGAACATTTTGAGGGTCGAGTCGGGTCGGGTCGGGGTTCGGGCTTTTCGAGCTTTGCGGAAGTCTATGCAGCACCGGTGCTGCGGGACTTGTCAAGGCCTACGCGCTGGTAACGAGAAGTAGAAGCAAAAGCGTACTAGATCCCGGAGGCAGATCCCTACTAAAGAAGGCCTCTCAGTTCTTAAAGCATCTCAATTGATTACTAAGCCGGTGGAAGCAATTAAAGCACCCTCCCCCTCCACGAAGAAGCGGTTCGCCGGCTTTACAACCACATACGCGGGCCTCGCCAAAGTGTAGTGGTTGTAGAGAAATAGGACATAAGATTAATTGATGCCTAGCTAGATAGATGATTTTAGTATATTTAATTTAATGGCGGTTTGGTTGAGATAAATACATTTTAAATTAAGAAGTTGGTGGAGGTGTCCAGCTCGGGGGTTTGTCCAGCTCGGTAGTGAAATACGTTAGTTAGTTAGCTAGTGTCTCGTACTAACCAATAGAAACCATGCGATCCTTACAGAATCCCAATGTTCTCATGATCCAACACCGGGTAGCATCGCAAGAGGGGCTCATTGGCTCGGCGTGACTCACCTATGATTTATCTCTCGATGCTCGAAACTATGACAAAGATATCATAGACCCAACTTGAGTCATTTGCGTTTCGATTTTGTATTCAAATTCTCTTCTTCCCGCTGAAGTTGTGGTGTTCCGAACTTATCCCCACTACTCTTTGCAAAGTGTCTTGCATTTGCCAACATTATGACCGCGACAACTCAACCAACTTCATTCGGCAAGCCGATGCTGAAGCACTGGATGTTCGATCCCGCCTATAAGAACCTGAATCATGGATCATTTGGTGCCCATCCGATTCCTGTTAAGGACGCACAGCGTGCCTTCATGGATCTTGCCGATATACGGCCCGATCCGTATATCCGCCGACACCACGCAGAGCGTCTAGATGAAGCTCGCGAGGCGATCGCCAAGCTCCTCAAAGCTGAGCGACAGGAGTGCGTCTTTGTTAAAAATGCAACTACAGGCGTGGCGACAGTACTGTATAACTTGGCCTTCCAGCCGGGTGAGGCACTCATTTACTTTGAGCCTGTCTACGGTGCTGTTGTGAAGGGCGTTGTCTCGCTACAAGAGCATAGCTCTTTGCAGTCCCGAAAAGTTTCTTTCCAGTTTCCCATTACCGAAGACGAGCTAGAGCACCGTTTCCGCGAGGTGATTCGCCAAACTCGGGAAGAGGGACTGCAAGTCCGGGCCAGTGTCTTTGACGCCATCGTCAGTAATCCGGGTGTGCGGTTCCCCTTTGAGCGGATTACGGCCATTTGTCGTGAAGAGGGAATTTTGAGTGTCATTGATGCTGCGCACGGCGTTGGAAATATCCATCTCGATATGGAGAAGCTACGACCTGATTTCCTCGTATCAAATTGTCACAAGTATGAACTATCCCCATGATCCTACCTTTTCCAATCACTTGAGCAAACCTTGAATATTGACTCGGTTTCAAAAAGATGGCTCTACACACCCCGCAGCTGTGCAGTCCTCTACGTGCCCCGACGTAACCAGCATCTATTGCGCACCACTATGCCAACATCGTGGGGATTCATCTCAGCCCCGGACTCTCCGGAGACTATCGCCTCAGTGCTGCAAGATCCCAACGTTCCAGTGACAAAGACTGCGTTCGAGCAACTCTTCGAATTCGTCGCCACATCTGATGACTCCGCATACATCTGCGTCCCGGCAGCGCTGAAATTCCGCGCTGAAGTCTGCGGAGGCGAGGATGCTATCATTGCCTACAACCAACGTGTTGCAAATGAAGGTGCAGACTCTGTTGCTGCTACTCTCGGTACTGAGGTCCTGCAAGAACCTGATCTCCAGCCTGGCGAGCAGAGTCGTATGCGACAGTGTTCCATGACCACAGTCCGGCTGCCTATTGCTGTTGCTGCCGCCGGAACAGAGGGTGAATCTCTCGATCATACCGCTTTGGTTGTGTTGTCTGAGCAAGAAGCTGCTAATGCATTTGCTTGGATTCAGACGAAGTTGATGGACGAGCATAATACTTTCCTGCCGGTTTTCCACCATGGTAATTGGCTATGGACTCGTCTAAGTGGCCAGATCTATTTGGAGACAAATGATTTCGAAGCTGTTGGGGTTGTCTTGCGCGACCTTTGTGAACGGGTTGCGAAGATGGAGTTTAAGGCTTGATCTGCCCTGACTAAATTTAGCACTGATTGAAAAGCAATGATTGCAAACTATCACCACCTTCATGACCAGGTTCATCTTAGGGCCTGGAGTAGTAAGTAGATCAGGACTAAGCCAGTGAAACCGTAACTTCTAGTACTGCTCGCAGAGTCCATTCAGGACTTCTTCAACTTGAATTGCAATCAAAATAAACCTTCATGATGAACTCCAGCCAATTCATGTTTCCCCAGAAATTCAAGCTAGGAAAAAACTCGGGATTCAACATTATAGCTCACTCGTTTTGGCGAGGACTGTTGGAAAAAAAAAGAGGTTGCCTTTCTTCCGCCGTACAACATCAGAAGCGGCGTTGTGCATGCTTTTAGTACACCACGATCGGTCCCACAGGCGCCCTCAGTCTTGAAGGAGGCGACGTCTATGTCATCCGCAATGCAGGTGGCAGAACATCAGATTCATTACGCAGTATCATCATTTCGCAGCTGCTGCTCGGCACCCGCGAGGTCGTTATCGTGCACTATGTCCATCACCCCTGCAGACCATTGAGACTGAGCCTCAATCCTGGCATACATCTCATCAAGATTTGAATTATTTGCTGACTATTCTCTGGCAAACTGTGGAACGCTCACCTTCACCAACGAGGGAATCAGAGACAAGATTCGTGCGTACCTGAACCAGAATGCCGACCACACTGCGTTTTGCCCTTCGGGGATGTCAAGCAGAGTGTTCGGGATGACATTCAGATCTTGAAGGATAGTCCTCTTTTCTTGAATGTTCCAATCACAGTTCATGTGTACAAAGTTGAGACTGGGAAGATCATTCAGGTGGGAGAATCAGTAAATGACAGTCTCAAAAGTGCAGTATGGTGAGTTTCGATCCTAAGGCAAATGCTGCATAGCAATTAATGAATGTGACAAAGTCGCTTTGCGAATAGAAACAGATTTATGCATGCATCAAATGAATTTCGGGTCATGTACGATTGGCAGGTATGTAGCATAGCACTAACCTATTTGCTGGTGACTTGAAAAGAGAGAGATAGTGAGAGTAGAGACAAAGATACAACGCCCTCGGATGCTCCGACAAAAAAAAAAAATACGCCAACGGCCAATGAATCAGATCCCACACAAAAAATATACATAGGTGGTTATACTCCAGACAGACACCTCATTCGGCTGTCACGGCCTTTTCAGGCCACGCCAATCCGTAACGAGCGTTTATCGGCCTCTGGCTCCCTTGATCACTAGACTACCAACCACACCCGCGATTAGAGCCAGTCCACTCACAATCGCGACGCCAACAAGACCCTCCTTGGTGACTTTATCATCGATGAGTGACCCAAGGCTGGCAGCCTGGAGGTTTGCGGGCTCCTTCTTTAGAAGCAAATCATTGTATCGGCGGGCCTCGCCATAGTTGCCTAGCTTGAAGTTGCCGAGGGCCAGATAATAGAGACATTCGCGTCGCCGCTCCGGAGCTCCGCGGAAGATCTCTGAAAGCAGGCGAACACCTTCTTGCTGCTCGGAACGGATGTTGGATTTGATTAGACCCTGAAAACAACATCACCCCCGCATAGGCGGGGAGTAGCGGTTAGTCTGGGCACACTTGACTAAAGATAGATAGAACTTACCCATGCGTAGTTAAATTTCGTCTGGATCCCGACATAGTCGCCTTCTTTCTCGTATTGCGCTCTGAGGACCTGTAGCTCGGCGGGTTTCAAGGGACTGTGTCCGTGGCAGTCACGTCAGTTCTTAAATTTCTAAACATCTTTGATTCGCTGATTTATTCGCGGAAAACAAACCTTTCCGCATCTGCGGCATCTAGAGGGGAAAAGCAAGTCAGTTCTCAAGCATCAGACATCAGTTGGAACAAACCACGTACATGGAAGGTTAGACATGGCGAGACAGGGAGTTGGTGGGTTTGAGACGGATTAGTTTTGCCCAGAACAAAAGATCCAATTAATCAATAACGGTTCGTCAGAAGTTAATAGTCGTGGTCGCGTTAGGCGAGAAGGTAAAAGCGAGGGTGGAGAAATCACAGACACAACGTCACTTTGCGGAGGAGCAACAACTGTGGCGGTGCTGTGGCTGTTGCTGCCGCAACAAACCCAAAACAACCAACTTTCCACCTCGACACCTGTTTACCACCGACACCATGTTGCTCGACGAGGACCCTGGAACTGTATGTGCTACTCTCTGTACTCACATAAATGAGGCTTAATGACTTTACTGACGGGCTCAGCTTATCCACCACACGATCGGCAACTTTAACATCCACCCCGATAAACAAGCCATCACACGCATCAATGACTCGCTTGCAACCCTGCAGCAATCGCGCGACCTGCGCATTCGCGAGGCCGAGTCGGCCATGCGAAAACTTTCACGCCACCTGAAATCCTTATCTACACAACATGAGGAAGCCGTAGCCGTGCACGACTCGGGCAAACACGCGGCGGAGATTGTGGAGTTGGACACCAAGAAGTTTCGCATTGCCAAGGCTGCATCAGAACTCGAAATTGAAAGCGAACGCCTGGAGAGTGAGCTGGAAATGCTCAAGGAAAGACTGGTTGACCTAGAGTCCCAGGGTCTCGAAGGCGATGAAGCAACCCGGCGCGAGCGTGAGGCAGATGATGCGACAATGTGCGTGCCTATATCCTCGTCTTGGATAGACCCTCTTGCTAACATCTATTTAGTTTGCGGCTTAAGATCTATCGTTCCCTCGGTGTTGATATCGAGCCCGATGAGGCAGGCAACTTCAACAAAGCGGTTATTCGCAATAGCCGCAAGGGCGATGTTCACGTCGTCAATATCGACCCGAAATTCTCCCGCTTCTTCTACGCAAACTACTTTTGGTCAACGATGCAAGGATGATAATGGCGAAAGACGGGTTTGTGGGTGTCTGTGCTCTCTGGCGTTAATTTTTTTTGTTGGAGGCTGAAAGCCATGTCTTTGTATTGTTGTTGGTGTTTTTATACCCTTGGATTATTTTCTGTCATGAGTCGTACCATTGATTTTTATACATTCCAGCCATGTGACTGCCTAAAAATAGCAAGTTTGTTGGGTGATAAAGCGTTCACTCAGCTGTCGGCTGCTGCTGTAGCCGCTCTTGTAAAGCTTGAATGACCTTCTTCCGGTCTGCGTCCGATATTGTCCTCTCAAACAATTGAGCAGATACATCATGTGGTAAAACTCTTTCTAAAGCATCCAGCAGCTCTCCCTTCTGGATTTCCGACAAGTCTATACCCCAGGATGCGACCCATTGCTCGGCGAAATCGGCAAGGTTTTGCTCCACCCGGTCCATGTCTGGGATATCACATCCATCCCAGTTCAATAGCATTTCCTTTGTAACCGAGCCAGACTCGGCATTTTCTCTGATTCCATATCGTGTTTCCACGCTTAGAGGGCCAACCCCAAGTTCCTCTGCACGGGCATTCCAAAGTGCCTGCTTCAAGGTTCCGTCTCGTTCGATCATCATCCAGAACAATGGAAATGTGCTCCGAGCTAGTGTATCACGAACTCCTTTGGTTGCCTCGCGCGGGCTCACCAACACGCCAACCGTCTCGTCCGTGCGCCACCCGACAGGTGCCTGGCGGAAGGTTCCTTCTAGCTCGCGGACGACATTCGGGCCCAGTTTGGTCTTCAATGATTTGCATTGTACTAGAACCCGGAGTGCACGCTCTCGTTCCCGCTCCGGGAGGTGCCAAGTGCCAACGAGATCGATGCCGGCGTCGTCGCGACCGCCGATGCGGTTGAGGCTTAGCGCATAACGACGTAGTGTTTGGAGAACGGTATACTCGTAGTGCGTACCGACATGTACCGTACTCGTTTCTGGGAGAGAAAGATGCTCGGCGTAGGAGAGGAATGTCTTCAGGTCGTTGTGGTGTTGCGAGGGCGGAGATGGGGCCGAGGGGAGTTTAAAGAGCCGGCGGGTAAAGGGTGTCAGCTCATGATAAACCCTGGAGCTGGAAAAGCTGCGACGGGCATTCGATTTGAATATCAAGGGAGAGCATCTGGCAGCAAGGCCATGGCGTAGTTGCAACAGGCGCATTGAGTGATGTGAGGGAGAAAAGCCCGGCTCACCGCATTGCAGTGTCTCTCCGCATTTGCTCCGGACATTTGCTTGTCGTTCGCAAGCTACTCCACGCTCTTTTTATCATTTAATTTTCGAGTCGCTAACATGGCTGACATCCTCACACAGCTCCAGACTTGCCTGGATCAGGTAAAAAATGTCTCAGTGGCACCTACATTCAAACTCTTACTCACCATACGAGCAAAATAGCTCGCAACACAATTCTACGCAACACTTGGCTATCTCATAACATACCACGACAATGTCCCCACAACACCACCACCAAATGTCCCCAACGCAGTGCCAGCCCTAGCCAAGATCACCAAGAACTCGTCGTTACCACCGGTCCCAGCAGCCATCGCAAATAAAGTGGGGGGTTCAGCCGCCGTTACAGGAAATGCATCACCCCCGCATGCGCCTCCCCAGCAACCCGGAGCTGCGCCAGGGAAAGCAACAGGTACTGACGATCCGAATATTCCACCCGCTCCAGACTCACCCAGCACATTTGCGAGCCGGCAACGGGAACTTGCGCGCGATCTCATTATCAAGGAACAACAGATCGAGTACCTTATCTCTGTGCTTCCTGGGATTGGCGCCTCTGAGGCTGAGCAAGAGACCAGAATCCGGGAACTGGAGACAGAGCTTAGAGATGTTGAGAAGGAACGTGCTGCGAAAGTGCGGGAGTTAAAGAAGTTGAGAACTCGGCTGGAGGATGTTCTCGGCGCTGTCGCTGTGGGTATCCATGGGGATGGGTATGCTCCAAAGTGATTCTGTGGGTTCTCGGGACAATACTATTTACTTAGAACTTCGGAGTGATCTAAGACAGATAGGACTAGTGTGGGCTTTTTATTTCCCTTGCTGAATTCTCGGCATTATGTGATGGGTCTTTCACCCGATTGCACAGACAGATGAATAAATCTCACGAATCCCACATGATGATACCATTCTAATTTCTTCCAATCTTGCGATGGAGTCTTTTTGAAACGCTTATTTCTGATTTCGAGACCTAGAATGATTCTGTTTTTCGTGTATTGGCCCGAGGCCGGTTTGTACATGGCCTAGCTAATCAAGCATGTTACATTCCAAGCTTGGGCTCGATATTGACGTTTTAGTCGCTTGTCGCTTTGAGTTGATGGGATGGATAACTATAAAATGTGGTTCCTTCATATACATCCCTCCCTCCAATCTGCAATTTATTGGGCTTTATCAGCAACCTGATTCTCCGCAAGGTCAATTGTGGGTTAACTCCTTGATGTCGGCATTGAACAACGCTGTCTGATGTTAAGTGGAACGAGCCATGATTTCTATGTGTTCGATTCAGTCATTATAATCCAACCACATAAAGGCGTGTCTTGTATGGCTAGCTATCTCTCGACTAGTGTGCAAAAAAGAAGCGGTAGAATCGCTATAAGAGAAGCAGCGTTTTGGCCGTCAGTGAGCCAAGAATATAGGGTGATATTGATTTTGAAAGGGGTATAGGCTGATAGGTAGAGAGACAGATTCCGATTAGAAGTAACGAAAGAAGGTGAGATCAAAAAGATTGTTTAATGCAGTGTTCTAGGGAACATTACTGACAGACGATGATTAGATCTAGGTTACGACCTGGATCTAACTACAATAATTGTAGACTGTGCCTTGGGTCTACGCCGGCGGTATTGTGACTTGAAGGTGGATGTTAGCATCAGTTTCGTATAAATTGACTTGGACGGTATCTCAAAGTTAGAAAGGTCAGTTTCTCTCGGGGCAGACATTGTTCGCCATTTAGGGAGATCTCTATGCATTGTGATGCACGTGCCCACATTTTCCAATATTGTTTATGTACCAAGTAGTGTCATAAGCAGACTGAACCAGATAAGGTAACCAGAGAAAAGTCACTCGATCAATCCGAGTACAGTGTGGTATACATGTAAGGCCTGTTGACTCGGAAAAACATAGTTCGTGGTGACTCTTCTATTGGAGGGCATCTGCTATACGAAGAGCATGAACGATCCTATTCTACTCAGGGACCAGGTTCCAACTCCTCCTATATACTCTTGTTGGAAGTGAATTAAAGAGCATAGAGTCTAGTGATGCAAATGAAGATGTTTAAAGACATTGAATGGCACACGCAGAAAAGAAAAAAAGAGTTATACGGTTAAAGCAAGCAGACCCGTGAATAGAACGAGCTTGAAAACTTCACCGCAAACTGGAAAAAGAAAAAAAGAAAACAAGAAAAAAAACCGACCCGCGTATGATCATAAGGAGAGAGAAAAAAATGGAATATAAATGCTAACGCCTTCTCCTTTTCCGGGTATCAAGAAACGAAACCAGTGAGCCACCGGCATTAGGGAAGAAACAAGAAAGGAAAAAAAAAGGTCAAGAAATCAAATGGAAACCTGGAGGAAAAACGCAGAGGTAAATGGGAAAGTGAAGTATGCTTTTTGCACGCATAGCTGGAAGATGAAAAAAAATTTTACTTGAAGAGATTGCGGTATTCACGCATGCGAGCTTCTTGGGTCTCTCGCTTGTCCCGCTTTACGCGATTCAAGCTCGTGTCAGCCATCTCTTGCTTCTTCTTGGCGAGTTCCATGATCTTCTCCTCAATGCTGCCTTTCATAACGAACTGGAACGTTTGCACAGGGCGAGTTTGGCCAAGGCGATGAACACGGTCAATCGCTTGAGCAACGGCCGCTGGGTTGTACTGGGGTTCCATGATGAAAACACGCGAGGCAGAGGTGAGATTCAGTGCCACACCACCGGCACCGATAGTGGCCAGAAGAACTGTGATGTTGTCATTGTTGGCGAATTCCTCCAGTGCTTTGGTGCGTGCTGCAAGGCTCATGGTACCATCGAGTCGGGCATACCCGTCTAGTCCATTGTTATGCAAGGCGACCTCAATGAGATCCAGGTGCGAGGTCCATCCAGAGAACACAACACTCTTGATGGGTGACTCGCCTTTGAGCTTCTTGCTATCTTCAACACTGTCCTTGAGATGGTTGACCAGTGCAGTGGTTTTGGTGTGCGGTCCTTCATATTCACCCAGATTCTTACCCAGCTTCCGGGTTTGTCGTTCACTTTCCTTTTGGGCCTCGTATTCTTCAAAGCCAGCTGGGGTTATGGTCGAGTATTTCATGTGAACCCAACCTTCGCATCTGGGGCAACGGGTCTCGGTGTCGAGAGACGAATCAAATGCTTGTTTCCAGCCAGAGAAGCAACCGGGGCAGAAAATATCGCAGCATGGCAGGGCAAAAGCCATTGGAGAATTACGGGCGACAGCTCCCATGGAATTCAGAGGTTCGTCGAGTTCTCGATTGCAGTTGCCACACCGGGGGACTGAGGCTTGTTGCATCAGGCTGAAAATTTCATATGCCTTCTTGTCTATGGCTGCCGGGGATTGGTCTTGTTCGCCATCCTCCAGATCAATTGCATCGGTAACAGATAATCCCTTGGCTCTCTCCCTGTCGGAATTGTCAAGAAGCTCTTTACCATGTGCACTGACTTGGCGGAGAATCATCATGGCTTTCAAAACATGGTGATACATGCGGCCACCCATCTTGCGCATCTCCTCACCAGCAATGACACTCATCATCACATTCGATTCCGCGCGGAAGAAGTCATGCAATTGCCGTTCTTTCTCACTGAATTCTAGTTTGACGATCTTGTCTGTTCTGGGTGGCAGATCGATTTTGTCCTTGACTCTGCGCAAGGTAAATGAATCCACCAGAACTCGTAACCTGGCAAGCACATTGGGGTCACCATTTTTGACTGGGCTAGATACATGTTGGGAAAATTGGCTCCGTTGGTCGTAAGGAGCGATGCGTAAAAACTTAGTCACAGAGAGGAGATCTTCCATGCGATTCTGGATTGGGGTTCCGGTAACTGACCACCGACGTTCGGAGTTGAGTCCAAGGATGGCCTTGGTCTGTGCCGCATTTTGCTCTCTGATGATATGAGCTTCATCAAGAACAATCCGGAACATGTTCATCTTCGTCAAAGGACTGAGTTTTCCACTTTTGGCGCCACGCCCCGAGATCTCGCTGAGAATGGTGCTGTATGTCGTGATGATGATATCGTACTCGGATAGTACCTTGAAATCAGTGATGCGTGATGGACCATGAAAGATATAGTATCTGATGCAGCGTAATTTGAGATGGTCTGTGATCTGTGTGACCCAGTTGCTCACTGCACTCAACGGAACAACTAAAAGTGTTGTCCGTGTGTTGCGGATTCCTGGAGCTCGGCGAACAAGGGCAGGATCAGGAGCCATCCCAGTCCAGTCTTCAGCTAACCCAAGCGATGACGTGATTAACGAAAGAATGCTCAGAGTCTTGCCCAGTCCCATCATGTCGGCCAACAAGCCGCCAAGGGCCTCCTCGGGCTTTTGCTCTGAGATCATTCCAGTGATGATTTCACGATACTGAGTTTTCCCATTGGGTGCACGTTCCATTCGCCACAAGGAGTTGTTGTCTTCTTCTTTTCGGCCAAATTTGCGCGGCTTTTCTTTTTCTGTCATGAACCACAGGGCTTGCTTTTGATGATGCAGCATTGGTGTCTTGATGTGATGAGATGGCTCCATGGTCGGAATATTCGCATTGGCGAGCTGGTCAAACATCTTCATGACTGCATCATTGGCCTCTTCGGCAGTTCGCGCTTCATATCGGACACCTGACCCTGGGCGAGACAGCCCAGAGTTTTTGGCGGCAACGCTTGCAGCGGCAAGCTGGCGTCGGCTCTCTGCGTGCGGGTTGAACACCGTAGTTCCCTTGTCCACGGAATTTGGAGTTCCCAGCCAGATGTTGCGGTGGGATAGGAAGTTTCCAACAGCGTCTGCGTGCTTTCTTTGGCCGTAGATATTGAGGGTTGCACGCCAGAGTCCTGAGGTGGGACCCCAAATTTTTTCATTCGGTGAGGTTCTCCGGATATCCAATAGAGCGTTTACATCGATGATTTTTGTTTCGGAGTCCAGGAGCGGACACAGTCCTTGTGCTGTTTTAGGGTCAATTGTACCAAACACTTTCCCGTGAGGGTCCGCGACGTTGATCTGTAAATTGCCTTTCACCGGCTGGCGTTGCAGGTCTAATTTGATAGACGGCCAGGCGTGGGACCAGTCGGTGAAAACAGAGTGTCCTGGTCTTGGGACTGTGTGGGAAACGATCATTGCGTTTTCAACTTTGCCGAAGCACACACGCTGGGTGCTGAGATCTGTTGAACCGGTGCACAGGACTTCATCATCGTCCTTAGGCGTGTTGGGAATGTCTAAAGCAAAATTAGTTTTAATTCAAACAGAATCAGAGAAAACAAGAGTAATAAAACAATTATACCTGCTGTCAAATCTACCACGCTGGGTGTAGTGGAAACTGAGGTTTGCTTCAAATTATTCTCTTTCATCCACTTCCCAAGCCCGCTATCTCCAGGGATCGAGACGGGTGTTTTCGCCATGTTCGGTTTGTCTTCCACATCATGCTCAGTTTTGATCTTCTTCGCCGGTTGTTTCTTCCGCTTTTCAACGCCATAGATGTTTTCGATCAAATTGGGACGGTAGATGTTGTCTTCTTCGTCACTCATCTCGTGGTGACTTCTTTTCGTGTCGCTTTCGTTCTCTTCATCATGGGTGGTGCTGAACTGCACAGTCAGACTGGATTCCGACTTCACAGCCGGGGTAGAGATTCCGGACGCTGTATTTGGAGACGTGCGAATAGTGGGTTGATGAAAGCGTGCAGCAGCTAGGGTGCCCGCGGGGGCCATGGGAGAGGCAGGAGATGAACCATTTGCCGGCTGTTTTCCTGGATCTTTCAAAAGTAAGCCTTGGGCATCCGTCGGGTCTAGAAGCATGGGGTCTGCCGGGGGATAAGTAACAAGAGGTGGTATATTGTGGGAAGAAAGGCTCGAAGATAGACCCGGCGAATTGGGAGCACAAGGGGGGGAAGAGTCAGCTGGACCAAGAAGCTTTGTGTGCATAATAGAAGTATCCATCTGAGGGGCAGAAAGAACACATGATTCAGCTGGAGGTATCATATCCATGGGCATGGACTTAGTATCCATCTTAGTGCCAAGATGAACAGGGGCCTCAGGCAAGTCATGAAGATCACTAGGCATGGCCGAGGTGTCCATTGTGTGAAGCGTATAAACATAGGACGAAGTGCCAGGGGAATTAGTCCTAGACTCGAATTTCTCAGAGGGAAAATCGTACGAAATAGCGACGGCATCCAAGGAAGGCAAATCACTCGCTGGGGAAGAAGAAAAGGGAGAATTACCACTGCCTTGGGCTTGTCTTTTAAATCCCTTAGGATTCAGGAGCATCGCAGCATGAGATGCCATAATGTCTCAATCGCGGGCGAGAACTCCAGGATTTGGTTTGGTCGGATTCAAGTTTGGGCAGTGCTGTGAAAGCGAACTGATGGAAGCCAGTTGATGAGATAAGCAACAGGGACGGTTTTTCTTTTCATCTGTTGTGGATGAATTAGGGACCGAGTTCCTTCAGACTGGACAACTTTATGTCCAAGCTCAATTTGAGAAGGATCCGTAGCGGTATCAGGTGGGTTGGGATGAGATTTAGGCGGTTGCGGTTTGGGATCAATTATCCGCCCTTGCTTGTTTGTTGTAGGTTTTTCTGGTGAGGGCAGATCAGTCAAGTTCAAGGCCTTTAAACCTTGATGTTACGTATCAAAATCAAATATTAATGCCGCAGCTGAGTGATTACGCAAGTTGTCTGGCAAACGAAAGGTGCGTCTTCCAGACGCGAGAGTCGCGGAATGTCCGACCTCATTGAAAGTGAGAGATGCTGAAGAGAATCCCGGGCAACACTAGTTGCGCTGTTGCATTGGCCGTCAACGTATATATCCCAAGGGAAATCACGTCGTTTTCCTGGTCGCAATCCAGTCGGCGCCTTGTCGTTTGCCTCGTCGAATGAATCGTGATTAGGTTCGGAGGCGGCTCTTGTGTTGGTCAAGGGGAGTATCCTTGACCTAGAGTGTTCTCGCCGTGAGTCTGTCGGCTTGCGCGACTTCTTTGCTCCAAGTCAGTCGTGTCGTTGGAAACTCAAAATGACGAAGTTGTTCCTTCGCTGAACTCGGTGCCTCGGAGAAACCCGCCGATAAGATCTTATCAGTCCGCGCACGCTCATAGTATAGAACGCAGCCTTGGAAGTACTTAAATGAATGTCAATTTACAACGTAGAGAAAAGCTGGAAAGTTGACGAGTCCAAGAAGAATGTTTAAAAACATAAGAGAGCAAAAAAAATTATGTACTTCAACGCGCGGCATGGATATATGAGGGCCCGAGCTCCCCACTATGTCCCAGGTCATCTTCTATAGAATGTGGGGATACATTGGATCTTGAGGCTTGGGTACTTTTTTTTTGTAATACCTTGAGGGTATATGCTATGTTTATTTGTAATTGCTGTTTTGCACTTAAAGCCGTTTTTAACGCTGGTAAGTGGGACATTTGAAAAGAACGCAACTAAGAGAAAACGTCAAAAAAGAGTAGCAAGAAGACTGACTACCAAGAAGATATGTCTCAAGGCCGTAAATGCGGCCGAGTGTTCTTGTTTGCAAATATGTAGCCATCTAGATATGTGAATGGTCACATTTGTGGATCGCTTATCTGTTTCAGCCTAGCCTAGGCGTGTTTGCGATGTCTAAGATGATGTCTCACAAAACAATGTCATCAAACAGTTGGCGAAGTCTTGCATAAGTGACTATGGCGTCAACCCCCGGCTTTTATTTTTCAACACTCTGAGATAGTGCGGACTTTTGGGGCACCAGAAATCAAGTAGTGGTTATCCCTACTCCAGCCAGGGTTAGGAGTCATATCTTGTTATATGTGGCAGGGTTACATCTATGCCGCCACCGGCTTACCTGTTTAATAACTGTAGCTGATCTAAGAGAATCAATGATAAAGGTATCTTAGAATTAAGTCTCGTCAATATGCTACATGAGGTAGATCGCCTAATCAATGCGCCACAGCCTAAGGCCACCCTGACAGCCAGAGAATGTCTATATACAACACGGGAACCTCCCAAGTCATGAGCGTGTCCAGCAAAGGACTCGTGTGAAATGTCACAGGAAAAAAAAGGCACAGTCGAAATCGTGAACAAAAAATTGTGAACCGTTTCCGTAAGGACGGGGACCCAACAAATACCCCCGAGAAGACAACGCCGCAGAAGATGGCTGCAAATTAGATGAAAATGAAGATAATGCAAGAAGTAGAAAAGTGAAAAGCGCAAAGGGTAGTATGGCACAATCTGACCTTAACACCAAGTGAAAACAGGATTTTTGCTCTTGACCGCTTCCAGGCGCTCGACTATCACCTTACGCTGGTTGCCTTCCATGCCCTCTGCAACTGCATAGCCAAGGTCACCTTCGAGATCATCGCTGCCAAATGTGTTAACATGAGGGACGCGGAAGGCCATGGCATCGCTATCTTTGCGATTCTTTTGCTCGCGGGAAGGAAGTGAAGCCCATCTATCTAGAGAGCCCTCGATGTTTCGGCCGCCAAAGTCATTTACGGTCGCAGGACTACCGACAGAACCATCAGCACGTTCGCTGTCAGCGTCAGGTCGACCACGGGTGAGTTCGAACCGGTTTGGATTGGGTAAATCGCTTGCCGACGAATTCAATCCCAATAAATCGTACTCAAGAATTGGTTGGGAAGACGCGGATGCACCAATATCCATCTCTTCTTCGTCAGGGTCGTAATTCATGGATTTGTTCCTTTGCTTGTCTGTGGAAGGCGCGCGCATCGGAATAGCAACGGGGACATCAACCAAGTCATCCCATACACAGACTCGGGTCCGTCGAGTCAGCTCAAGCGGGCCATGATCCGGTTGCTTCAATGTTTCCACCACGTTCCATGCTTGGCCTTTCATGACAGCGATTTGTCGAGCGAACATGCTCTCTTTAAAATCGTCATCTTGTGCAAAGACACTTCGCAAGGCCATCTGTGTGCCACTCCACCAGGCTGTGGATGTCAGCAACGGAAGGAAATGGTCACGGGTTCGCTGCGAGAAGGGTTGTCCGATCAAGGAAACTGGTAGGAAAAGCCAACCGAAGGGAAAACTGCGCCACTACAAATTGTTAGAGTTGGAAAGTAACAATTACAGGTGAGTGCGAAAACTTACGGCATCTGGATGTTTCCATGGCCAGGACAGACTGTTGTCAATGGCACCAAGCTGAACAGAAGCTGACTGTCCCGGTGAGGCTAGTGGAGTTCCCGTGCGACTGATAGCCATCATTGCTTCATGCCGCTTGTATGGGTGAAAGGAGGGATTGTGGGTGCCATTTGAATTCACGGAAAGAGGACGAGCTGGGGGCATAATCTCGTCTTCATCGTAGTTGGGCTGTGGTCCAGTTTGTTTTGGAGGCTCTGCCACGATGGAAACCTGCTCTGTCCCCCAGTCAATCTTGACCATCCAGTTGTCCAGACCTCGATCGGTATTTCGCATGATATAATCCAGAATCACAAGCTTCTCTAACTCCTCACGGAAGGATTGCTTGAGATTCTCTGTCCAGTAGAATCGGCGCTCAGCACTCTCGTTCCGCGACCCAGCGGGCGAGGGCACATAGCCTGAATCTTCGTCATACTCGTCGTCTGACTGTGCCCCCGATGGACGACAGGCCTCATTCCATGGTCGCTTCTTGCGCTTTGGGGCATCCTGGGTGCGGAATCCAGTATTCGTCTGGTCAGGCCAGGGATGTTCCCGGAGGAAAATGTTGGCGTCCTTGAATCCCTTGAGGAAGACTTGGAAGCTGCCAGCCTTAGGAGGCAAAACTTTTTTGCCTTTCCAAGCTTTTCTCCGATCCCAGAAATCGTAGAAGAACGACCTCGAAGATAGTCGTACAATACCGGTATAGGGGACAAGGTTCGTGCGCAGGCGGGAATCGAGAACATATGCGGCTGCTTCGGAGACATAGGAGAGATTGGGAATGAGACATGCGCGGCCGAAGAAGCAGGGGAACAAGTTGCGGTGAATCCATTTTGTCCATTTGGGGTTTCGTGAGGCGTACGGCTCTTCATCTTTCGGCTTGAACACACCAACTACTTTCCCTTCGGGGTTTCGAGCAAAGTAGCTGCCCGAGCTTCCTTGTGAGATCATCCGAGGATGTACGTCCATTTCAATTGCAAGGCGCACACTTTCGATGATCTCCTCGTACTCGGCGCGGGCCCGCCGTTGCTGACCCTCAAACTCATCTGACTCGAGAGCTTCGGCGCTCACGGGGATAACTCCGGGAGGTGCCTGGAAGACTGAATGGTAAATCTCCAGCCTCTCTTCCTCATAGCTTTTGCCCTTGACACGGTTGATCTTGAATTTGGAGGCAATCTCGTCCGCCCATTTTTCGAGACGCGCATTGATGGCTTTGATATCCACCCCGGAATTACGACGACCTCGAGAATGCTGAAAACCACTGTGTCTGCGTCGATGGCCTGGGGGAGTTTGGAGACCGGACGCCTGCATCTGGGCTCTGGAGGAGATGGGAGCGTATCGGGGAGCGGAGGTGGACGCTGTTGAGAACGCACCAATGTCTTCGTCTTCTGACTCATCGTGAAGGCAGCCCCGTTCCTCTTCGGCCTGAGCGAGCCGGGCATATCCAGAGGTGGCAGGACGGGTCTTTGACATTGTGATTGAAGAGGGTGGTTGGATCTATGGAAGACGAAAACAGGCAAACAGACTCGTAGGAAAATGAGAGGAAGGCTGGCAAAAGAACGAAAAGACGCCAAAAGAGGTTAATCCATCACAGAGTAGAGAAGAGAAGAGGATACCACTGGTGGATAGAGTAGAGAGTTGATAGAGTGAAGGCAGCTGAATTAAGTGTCACCTATGTTCGGACGCCCTAGGGGGCGTCCCGAAAGTACGGTTACAGCGAATTTACACGGGCGGTGGCGTAATGAGTGGCAGAATGCAGAAAAGTGTGTGAGGTGGGCAGGTCCACCTTGTCAATTACCGTTATACAATTACGCACCGCCACACTATGTCTCCACCCCCTAATCAAAGATTCTCCATGAATGGATGCATCAAGTACTCCGTAGTACTCCGTAACTAACTGTGCTGTATATTTAAAGAGCCCTGGAGCTTGGCTAGAACCATCGTTTATCTCCATATGGCACCCCTCTAT